AATACTGCCTCTTCCTTGTCATATGGCCCAAAGTCAACTAGTTTCTGCAACAATTAGACCCCACAGGATAGCCTCCTAGGTATCTGCTAATGGTTCCACTCCAACCTAGATCGCGACATCCACAGGCCTCTGTCTTGGGCCACTTATCTATTCTGGTTTCAATCTTCTCCAGTTGCTTCACTAACAATGGCACCCTGTTGCCTCCTCAGTTCCCTGCCCAGGAAAGCCAACAGACTTTATTATTATTATTATTATTATTATCTATTCTGGTTTCAATCTTCTCCAGTTGCTTCACTAACAATGGCACCCTGTTGCCTCCTCAGTTCCCTGCCCAGGAAAGCCAACAGACTTTATTATTATTATTATTATTATTATTTATTTATGCATTTAAATTTATTATAGTCACCCACTTCCGTAGACTCTGGACAGCTTACAAAAGCAGATACAAAACAATAAAAATAGTTAAAAACATACAACCTCACAGGGACCTGGACTAAAACAATCAAACCTTACCAAATCAAAGCAAATGAATGACCCCACAAACACATCAACCCCAGGCCTGAGACCAAAGCCAGATCTTAAGTGCTTTTTGGAATCCTAGAAGAGAAGGCACTATCTGTGTCTCTGGAGTGATGCTGTTCCAGAAGGCAAGGGTCATGACAGAGAAGCCACACTTCCTCAGTCCCATAAGAAAACAACATTTAATAGAAGGGACCTGGAGCATACTCACTCTGCTGGAACATATTAGGTAGGCAGAAACAGTTGGAGATAGGTGGTCCCTCAGGTATCCAGGCCCTGTGCCATACCACCATTGGTGTTCATTATATTAGAACAGCCACCACAATCCACAGCTGGATCAGCTGAGGATGAGATTCCTCCAGCCCTTATTCTTCTTTGGGGCAGGTCAGGTTCCACGATCCAGATATTGTTTTCTTTATCGTTCATTCTCCACATGATCCAATCTTTCATTGGATGCCATCTGATCAGTCCCTCAGATGACAATCTTTCTCCATACCTACCACATTTCCACACCTTCTGCCTACATACCTATCTATTCTTTCACAAACTACTTGTATATTATGACCAAAACAACAACCCTTTACCAACTAAAAGGAAGTATCTCTTTGCTTAAAAAGAAGTGATGTTTCTCTTACATGACAATTCCAATACAGATTTTTCTACATAAATATTTTGGTGTAAACTATTCCTTATGCAACTTTTCCTGTAACATAGTTAATTCCAACACTATTTAACCTAACACACATTATTTATATAGACATTTCCACATTTCATGTCCCCAAGGTGTACCAAGTTTTATAAACTTTTTTTTTTAGCTGAGAACGGTAGATGGCACTAGACTCCATTTATTGCTTTTTTCCATGTTGCAATAGAGTTTCTTTTGATGAATCATATTCAGGGGCCAGGACTGTATTTGCATATATAAGATCATTCTTAGATATGTCAGATTTAGCCAAGTTGGACATCATAGACTATTATAATGTGCTCTACATGGAGCTGCTTTTGAAGTGTTTGGAATTTTTGCATGATTCAGAATGCTGAGGCCAGACTACTGACTGGGACTAGTATGAGTAAATATGTTACACCTTTGATAAAACAACTTCACTGGTCTATTACAGAACATAACTCTGAGTCATGATTATGACCTAGAAAGCCTCAGAGAAATTGATAAAGAATATATCCTCCCAGGCTGTAAGAACTTCAGGAGGCACCTTGTCTCATTCTACCCCCATCAGAGATGTGCCTGATAGGAAAAAAAGACAGGGTTTTTGAGGCTTTGGCAATCTCTACTAAATACAGTCAGGTTTGTTTCCATTTTACTTACAAACAAACACATTTATCTGCCAAGCTTTTGACATATAATCAGTCTTTTATCTGATAAAGCTGACAGTGGGATTTCTTATTTGGTTTGTTTGACATAATTTTAATTATATAATTTTAATTAATTTGTTCACTGCATCAATCAGTAAAAAGGGAGAATGGTGATCTAATGAACGCAAAGCATGCTGTTCATCACTTTCTTGTCATTCTTCTCTCGAGCTTATGTTGTGCCCAGCTTGGGCAAATTTTTACAGTTCTCCATGACCTCTTTGGTATTGTGTCTATTACAAGGGCAATATTGGGAAGAATTTTTGCTTATTAGCCAGGAGAAAGGTGTTTTTTTTTTTTTTTTCATAGAATAGTGGAGATAATATACTCCCAACCTACTGCTCAGTGCAGGAATTGGTGGTATCACTGTTCTGAGATATCTGACCTTCATAATTCATTCAATTTCTCCCACACAAAGAATCCAGTAACTGCTTATTTTTAGACTGCACCTACCTACAGATAAAACATGTAATTGTATGTAGTACAAAATGGAAATGGTCTATACAACATGGTCCACTTGATCTGCATAGTCCATATTTTCCCGGTGGAAGTTCAGTAATCTTGGGAAAAACAGAGCTCTGTTCCTGTAGTATAGCCTGTCATTGAAGCCCTTTCTTTTCCTTCCTTCTCCTTACCTGTACTTGTAGGAGGGAAAACATAATATCCCATTAAGGACTATGTCTTAGGTATAGCTGTCAATCAACTAGTAGTGGGAGCACTTATCCCACATTGCTTCATTTTATCAGGAAAGAAATTATGATCAACTTTATCAAATGACTCACTTGTTCACTTTTTTCCCCTTAAATATCTGTCTTATGAACTATGTTGCAGGGTAAACATACTTATTAAGAATAAAATTGCTGCACAGTTATGCAGCAATTAATAAGACATTCACTCAATTAATACTTTACCTGGTATAAATTAATTTAGGCAAGAGTTACAGACTTGGTGAGGAGGCAAGGCTCAAGAATAAAGAGGAAGGATATGATCAGAGGAAGCAGTAAAACAGTATGTTCCGGTCTCTTTCCTTTCTCTCTGTATATAGTTTTTAAATACTTATATTCTTATGGGGGCTTACTAGCTCACAGGGCATTTCACTTTGTGAGGAAGAGTGGACCCAACCAAACACAAGTTAAAGCTGCTATTAAGGCCAACATCATGGCAGTAAGGGCCGTGAAATGTCAGCATTTCTCTGCCCTACTGTTCAGCAGCCTTGTTTACGGAGACCTGGTGAGGAATATGCTGGGCATCTTTCACAAGGCCTTAAAGACAAGGTTCTGTCTCTGGGCCTGGGGATCTGGAGGTGCGGCTGAACCCATGCAATGGTCGTGTTGATTGGTTATTGGTGAGTTTGTTTTCACCCAGGCTGTGGGTCCTATATGTATTGTTGTTTCTTTGTTTCTATGTTCTTTCTGCTGTTTTAATTATTGGTAGCTGCCCAGAGTTATGAACTTGAGATGGGCAGCCATATCAATCAATCAATCAATCAATTAATCAATCAATCAATCAATCAAAATGCTCTTTAGAAAAGGAAGTTCAGTGTTAGAATAAATCCCATGCTAATCATTTTCTTCCAAGTAATTAATTTTGCCAGAATAGCTACATGGAAATACTTTATGTTAGCAGAATGTTTGAATGTGTCCATTAGAAGAGATTTACAGTATTTTTACTTCTGATATATGATCTTGTGTGTGTGTGTGCATGCACATGTGCACGTGCACACACATATCTTTGAGTCAGTTTTGACTCCTGGCAGCTACCTGGACAAATCTCTGCAGTTTTCTCGGCAAGATTTGCAGATGTGATTTGTCCTCGTCTTCTTCCTAGGGCTGAGAGAGAATGACTGACCCAGGGTCACCTAGCTGGCTTTATGCCTAAGGCAGCACTAGAACTGACATTCCCCAGTTTCTATCTCAGAGCTCTTAACCACTTCACTAAATTGGCTCTCTGACATTAGAATCCATTGAATACCATTCTGATAGGTCAACAAACTTCAAATGTCCTTTAGACTTCCTGAATTCAAGGCTTTCTGGGTCAAAACCTTTATGGCCCTGTGGAAATATAATACTTGCGTTATTCCTACAACATGATTAATATTAAGCTAAGATTATCTATAATATTCTATCCACTGTTTATCTTCACTATTTGGTTTGTTGGCCAGAAAACTGGTGTTGCGTAGTATGACAATCCAGCGTGAGGGTCTCCAAATAACATGCAGGATGAGAGAAATCCAACCCAACTCATTTATTACTGCAGCAATAAAGGAGGACCCATCAAAGTGTCACTACACAGGGAGGACGCTCAGTGCTTGTCACATTAAGCCTTTTATACAATATTCAAATAGGGAGAAAGAATATGATTGGTCAAAATTTGATACAAATTGCACATGCATATAACACCTTGTCTATCTCATAATATACAAGTGGGGGTGCAATTATAATATAATAGCATAGGAGGTATGGTTTTAGGGTCCTTCCATCATAAGGTCCCAATAGTTCATCAGTCTAACCACGGAACTGGTCTTATCTGGCTCTGGCAGTTAATCCTGGGTTTCCCTACTTGCCCTTCAGTTTCATAACTTCTTTTTCTGCCCAGCAACAGCCAATATAGACTAACAGATTATTGGCATCTTGGCAGAATTAGGGCCACTCTCTTTATTTGCTTAACTTCTTAGCATATCATAGAATGTTTTTAGAAATTTCATAGACATTTCAGAACCAACAGAGAGTATTTCAGGCTAACTGAGGTTAACAGTATAACCTGATAATTTATCAAATTTCTGTACAATGTCAATACATTTTGGGGAAGTACATTCATCATTTATCAATCAAACAATATACCCTCAATATAAAATTAGCAATTCATGTTCAGCCCTAGCTGAAATGCACTTCATTGGTGTGGAAGGAATAAAAAGAAACAATATGGAATGAATGGTTTGAGATCACTGAGATATGGAACTATTCTCATTTATTTATTTAATACCTAGCCTCTTATTAGTTGGTGATAACACTTGGCAAAGGTCAGATAAACTACAAGTCTGTTGCATTACATTTTGCCTTCTGACTCCCTTTGCAAATCCCTATTTACTCTGCTTAATTATTAATAACAAATACTAACTCCAAGAGTTGTATATAAATTTCAAACATGTTTGTAATCCAGCAGAATGCCATAAAATGCTTTTGGAGAATTGTAAGTACGATATGCAGTTTTCCTCTGTCTTAGCTTATTAATGCTTTCTGCAGGATGTCTGCTTCCTTTTGAGGATTAAGATCCTTAGGTGGTTCCAATTAACCTCCCTGCCATGATAATGATTTCTGTCTAGAGGATGGAGGGAAAATTTACTCGCTGTCAGAGGGTGTTTTAAGGGCCTTTTGTATGCCCTTAAAATACATTTCTGAAGGTTGTATATCCTGTTTAGGAAAAGGTTATAAAGTCTGAAGAAAAGAGGGAACTATCTCACTGCATGAGTGGAAATGCATGTAAGCGACATTAATCAGAATGTGATAATTTTTTAAAAAAGCAGAAATATCTTCTGGTGTGATTCAGAATGGAGACAAAATTCTATTGCATTATCTCAGAAACCACAGATGCATGACACTCATGTCACCTACTCCCAGCACAGCACTTGTTATCAAATAGAAGGCTAGGAATCACCCAAAAATGTGACGCTGCCCAAGTTTGGGAGACCCGATGCCAGTGCAGCACAATTTAACATTTAGCCCCAGCAGATATTGGAATTCCCTTCTCCTACGCAAAAGGCAGGCTATCAGTGCAGACTTCCTGAATGACAGCTTAATGCTGGCCTCTGAGAAACTGAAACAGTTTTTCAGGCTGGGTGCTTAAAATTAATAGCAAGCTAATAGCAGATGTTTTACTAGTCATAAGAGTTTTCTAGTAGAGTTTCCTAGTAATCTACTAGAGTTTTTTTTTGGTAGAGATGAAATATGGGGAGAAGTGCTAGAGCACAGAGTTGCTAGTAGCTTTAAGGAATGGGAAGTAGACAGTATTAAAGTTGCCTGAAAGATGAGGGTCCTCATAAGCATCAAGATAAATATAAAATGAGCCATTAGGATTTCAAGCTGTTACAAAATCCCAAACATGTGATCAAAAATGAATATTACTGCTTTAGAGCAAATGCTAAAATGTGGAAACGTTTTAAAATATTTCAAACAATATAGTTTGTTTTGTTTTTTGAAACCGCTGTTATTAAAATGCTAGAAAGCATCATTATGGAAATAATCCACCATTTTTTAAAAAAAATCTGTATGCAAATTTGTGAAACTAACTTCTAAAATTCCCTCTTGCACTACTTGCAGGAAAACTGAATTAATTATGCTATATAAATGTATAGATATAGGGCATAATCCACCATTCTTACAGAATTCCTATGTATTTCTGGATTGTTCCTCTAATATCTTCTATTAGCAGAAGATTACAATGAAGTCAATCATCAACTTCTCGTTATTGATTAGTCTTCAAGTCTGTTGCCATCAGTTCCCGGAATACCCTGATCATGACCATGTCCACAAAGATATAAATTCAAACAAACATCAGGACCTTCCTTTGGCAGAAGAAGAGAAGTACCCAAACTATCATAAGATAGTTTCCAGTAATGCTGAATTTGCATTCAGATTCTACCAGCAAATTGCTTCAGATGCAGCTGTCAAAAATATTTTCTTCTCTCCCTTCAGCATCTCCATAGCTTTTGCACTGCTGACTTTAGGTGCCAAATCAGAAACCAGGGATCAGATTCACAAAGCACTTGCTTTTAACCTCTCAGACATTGAAGAGAGGGAGATACATGAAGGATTCCAACAGCTCATCTATGTGCTTAGCCATCCAAGAAATAAAGTACAGGTGAACATAGGCAATGCCTTGTTCATTGAAGAATCCTTGAAATTCCTGCCTAAATTTTTGGAAGATGCCAAAACCTTGTATGAAGCTGAGGGCTTCTCTGCCAATTTCAGTGTTCCCAGACTGGTTAAAAAGCAAATTAATGACTATGTGAGAAACAAGACTCATGGGAAAATAGCTCATGCTGTTGAGGATCTTGAACCAACCATTGTGATGGTCCTTGTGAACTACATGTTCTTCAAAGGTAGGTTGAAGAACAGTTATTTATAAATGGATCTTGCAATATAACCTAGTCTACTCCACCTTTCCTTTACACATTTCCAGTCATCCTGGAAGAGGAGTCATGCAATGGTACTTGGTGAGTTTCAGGAACAGGGAAGCCTCCTTCTGCTAGACTATATGGTACTAAAAGGCTGCCAACCTCATACTGAGCATTTTATAGATATGTAGGAATGAAATTCAAGCGCTTGGGTAGAGAAAAGAATATTGTTTTCCTTCTCCTGAACATTTTCTGAATAGTTGTCAATCTGCTATTTAACTTGGTTGTATCATTTTCTTCCTCCCACTCCCAATCCTTATTACTTTAAGTTTTCAGAAGCTTGAATGGTCATTTTCCCACTATCTACCTGCCTCTGTTTATTTGTTTGAAAATTGTATATGAATCTTGCATAACTCACTTTCTTCTAACCATAGATTTAACTGCTAGGGATGTACATGGCAGCTGGCTTCTTAGATGCTAGCTATCCTCCCCACCACATCCACTCCACCCCCCTCAGCCCCCAAACACACACAAGCTGCTTTTTTATAAGTTCACTTGCTGTCTTAAGCTATTATCACATCCGATCTTGTCAGACAGATTTTTAAAAAATATCTTTAATTTCAAAATGCATGTATCTTTGCAAATTAGGTAGTTCCCTGAATGTTTTGCACTATTCCTTTAGCTTATTCCAAAAGATTTGCTGTTCAACTTCCTGTATTAGGGGAAGTTAGCAGAATGTGCAGCATCATATACTGCCATAGAAAAGTAATCTTGTATATGATTCCAAGTTATGGAACAGGAGCTTTTTAGTACAGGTAGTCCTTGCTTACCAACTGTCTCATTTGCTGACTGTTCGACAGTACAATGGTTGGGGAAGAAACAGCTTTGCAACCAATCCTCACATTTATAACTGTCACAACATCCCTTGATCACATGATTGCCATTTGGTGTTTTGCAACTGGCACGCATTTACAACCGTCGCAGCATTCTGTGGTCACAATTGCCATTTGCGTACTTCACAACCAGCTTCTGACAAGCACATTTAATGGAGAACACGGAAGTGAAATTGCAAGTCATGGTCACATGATGTCTCACTTAATGACCATGGTGATTCACTTAATGACCAAAGCAGAAGTGAGGTTGTAAATCCATCATGGCCATGTGATGTTTTGCTTAGTGACTGTGGCACTTAGCAACACAGTTGCCAGTCTCAATTGTGGACGCTAAATGAGGACTACTTGTATTGCTAGCAGCAGGAAAATGTCAAGTATCAGAAGTAGGAAGGGGATGGAAAAAATACTTTCTTACTGGTTCTGTTAAGGTGAGCCTCTTTCTTGGCTGTTTTGACAGTAGGTGTTTGTTATGTGTTGTTGCTGGCTGCTATTTTATGTGTCTTTATAGTTTCACTTATTGTTTTTACTTTGTTTTAATTGTTAGCTGCCCAGTCATGCAATTGAGATGGGTGGCCATACAAATTTAATAAATAAATAAGTAATAAGGTCTGCTGCTGCTGTGCTCGAGATGTTAGGGGAGGTTTACCAAGGATTGCTGAGGAAAAAAATAATATGTTGGAAAATTAGCATGCCATCCTTGCTCTGCATGTCCCCTAAGAAATGAATTGCACTGAGTTCAATAAGGAAATGTGCAAAATACTGATTAATTAACATTCAACCCAGCATTAGAGAAGATCTTTTATGTTTTGACAAGTTCATTTCATTTCCTGGAGACATTTGGTTGTGTGGCACCATCAGAACTCCCTGCCATTAGAGATTCATAAAATCTTAGAAAATTCTGAATGCCCTGGACAAATTCCTGGCTACCAGAGTAGATGATAAAAGCATTGGTCTTTGAGAGTAGACGAGCAAAGCACTGGTCTAAAGCATACAGTTGTAGCCCTTCTATACTGGTTGAACTAAAAAGATTAAATATTATTGATTATATACAATATCACTTTGGAAAAATTAACTACTCAGATTATCTGCTATCTAATCTCTCTTTCCCCCCTGCCAACCACCATCCTGCTTTTCTTTTTCTCAAGCTTCCTGGAAAAAACCTTTTAACACTCATTTTATCAGAAAAGAAGACTTCTTTATAGATGCAAACACAACAGTGCAAGTTGATCTGATGAGACGCACAGACTACTATAACATTTTCCACGATGAAGATCTTTCTTGCTGGGTGGTAGAAATTCCTTATGAAGGAGATGCTACGGCATTGTTTATTCTACCAGATGAAGGGAAGCTAGAGCATGTGGAGGCAGCTTTGGTGAGGGAAACCCTGTCTAAATGGAGAACTTCCTTTACGTATAAGTAAGTCTTTTCTCAGCACTGTTTTACAATCCCTTTTCTTCTAAATTTTTATTTCTTGAATTAATTTGTTATAAAATCAAACACCTTCACGATATATAATAATTATATATGTGATTGACCTCAAATCCTTCAACAGTTATTTTTAATGACAGGCCAATTAATTACCAGGTCTATAATAAGCAGAAAAAGATTAATTTGATTCCTTCTAGTTATTTGAAAGGGCCAATCCAGATATGACATTAAATATGGATAAACACTGAATAATCCTGATTTTTTTTTAAAAAAATGTTTATACTGTATGTCTAAATGAGGAAGTTCCTCTACATGGAAGTTGTAAATAGGGTATTCTTGGTGGTTACCCAATGATTGTGAAGATCGCATTCATGTGGAGAGGGAGAGTAGGGACATACCAGCTACCTCTCTGCATTGCACCTCTGTTTATCAGTAAGGAGAAGAAAGTCTTAATAAAGTTGCTGGAGCTGGCTCAGTGCACCCAAGTGGTTCCCGTGGTGGGTAAGTGTTCTTACTTAATGAGTTTTTAATTCATAGAGAAACATTGGCCTCTTCTCTGCAGAATTTTCCCCAACATATTATATGTGAGGCATTCTGAGAAGAGGTATTGTTAGTTCATTGCATTATCATCATCTGTTTTTTTCACTTCTTTTCCTCCTCCTTTTTTTTCTTATTAAAGAAAAATTATCTATCTATCTATCTATCTATCTATCTATCTATCTATCTATCTATCTATCTCCACTGGTTTTAAATTCAGGGGGCAATACAATGGAGGACACAGTCACACAACTGAAAATATAATATTTGGATTGTTTTCTTTGTTTTGGTTAACCAGAAATATAAATCTGCAAATTCCCAAATTTTCAATGTCTACATCTTACAACATCAAAGGCTTGTTACGAAGAATGGGAGTGACTGCTGTCTTTGACAACACTAGTGACTTATCTGGAATTACTGGAAAACGCGATCTGAAGGTTTCAGAAGTATGTATGGGAGTGAGGTTGGTGGTAATGGCTCATTGCTCTTTTCCTTAAATCAAATATTTTTTAAAAAATCTTTATTTTTACACCAAGGAATTTGAAAAAGTTAGTTCTAACCTCCACCTGGAAAAATTTGAAGGACACCTGAAAAAGGCCTCTATTTTATTCCTTGTTTTTCTTTTAGGAAACTATTATTCATATATGATTCCCCAGCTTTCAGATTTTCTTGTGAGAAATAAGGAAGTAAAATTAGTTCACATTGAAATGGAAGCTCATCCAATTTTACAATTTTGAATAATTCCATGAGTTGAAATTGAGTTATTTCTCTGATCTGTGTGATGCAGTTATCCATTTAAACAGTTATCCATATATTAGGTAACAATATGCATAAAAATGCATAAAATACAGAAGTACATTATTAGGTAAAAATGAGAGACAACGTATATATTATGCCCCCAAATATATACAAATTTTACAGCCAAGTTGTTTTTAAAAATCCTTAAATTGGTATAGAAAAAGTGGTCTATATTTACCCCCCCCCCCCAAAAAAAAGAGGCTGAGAAAAACTGAAACCCACCAGATCACAAAAATTGAAAACTAATATGAACCAAAGTAGAGAGATTTTCCCAAAAGAAATTCCACAGCTAAATATAGGTACAGACAGATTAATCCATTTCTAGGCTGGTTTTGTATGCATTTATTCAAAAACCTGCTTGATCCAGTTTTGCTATAAATCTGTTTTTAAAAGATGCTGACTCAATCATCATATTTAAATATAAATATTTTTCCAGCATTCTCATTCTTGTATGTGTCATATCCCGAAACAGGTATTTGTAATGTATTTTTAAATACTCCTGAAAACTATATTCTGAATTACAATTGTGTGAAAACTGAAGGAGACTTGCATTCCAATCATACACTAATAAGATAAAAGCATAAAAATACAGATACATGTATTTTGATACATCCAAGAATTTCTATTTAAATGTAGAAAAGAGAGTCCTCTTTTCTGCAGAATCCCTCTGGGCTCAATGCTCTCCTCACTCCTATGTAACATCTACATGAAGCCAGTGAGCAAAGTTATCCAGCAGCATGGGATGAGATATTGTCAGTATGCTGATAATACTCAGCTCCATATCTCCATCCCAGGCCAACCAAGTGATGCCGTGGAAGTTCTGCCTCAGTGTCTGGATGGGGAAGAACAGGATTCAGCTCAATCCTGGTGAGACTGAACGGGTGTGAGTCTCAGGGCCCCCTGAATCCAGTGTTTTTCATCTTTGGTTCTGGATGGAGTCACACTACCCCAAACAGAATTGATGCATAACCCAGGGGTTCTCCTAGACTTATGGCTCTTGTTTGCAGAACAGGTGGCAGCCATAGCCGGGGGTGGGTGGGGGGGTGCTCACAATTTTATTTTGTACACCAGTTGCACCCTTTCCTGACTCAAGCCTTAGTCACCTAATGAGTGGCTTACTGCAATGTGCTGTACATCGGCCTGGCCTTGAAGACCATCTGGAAGCTACAACTAGTCCAGTACATAGTGACATGGGCAGTTATGGGTGCATCTTGATACATCCATGTTACACCTCTGGTCCGCAGGCTGCACAGGCTTCCACTGTGCTTCTGGGTGGAATTCAAAGTCCTGGTTGTCACCTATTAAGCCCTTCATAGCATTGGGTCAGGTTATTTGTGGGACTGCTTCTCCCCCATTGTTTCTACCTGTTCCACTAGGTAGGACAGGAGGGGCATGCTCCAGGTCCCCTCAATTAAAAGATGCCACCTAATGGGACCTAGGAAGTGGGCCTTTTCTGTCATAATACATGCCTTCTGGAATACCATTCCCCTGAGATTAGATTGGCCCTGACCCTTCCAGCCCTTTGTGAGACACTGAAGACCTGGATGTGCTTTGGGTCCTAGGGATCAGGAGGTTAGATAACCCATGAAATTTTATTACTGAGTGTTTATTGGATTTGTTTTCAGTGACTATTGTAGATTTTTACACTTTTGTTGATACTGGTTTTTGTATTGTTTTTAATGTGTTGTTAGTGGCCCAGATTTGCAGCTGCAAGTTGGGTGGCCATAGAAATAAATACATAAATAAAAAAAAATAAAGTCTTGTCCCTAATTGACATAGATCTACTTCAGCTCATGGACACGAACACAGAAGTACATATTTAACAGCTTCTGACATAACCAGATCATCAAAATAAATGGAAATGTATACAGTTATGTCATCCTTGCTTATGTGTGTATGTATAAACACATATCTCCCAGTCTACTCCCAAAACTCTCCTAATAAATTGGGTCTAGTGACCTACCAAGATGCTAAAGTATTGGGCCTGCTCATTTCTTTCACTAGAAATATTGTACCTAGACTTTTTTTCCCAAAGATTTTGAGTTTTGGATCTACTGAGTGAAATGCCCTAATAAAGAAAATGATTGTGTCAAACAGAATAGTTCCTTCAAGGATCTGTAGTGAAAAGATCCTCAGATAAAGATCATTACAATATTCATTTGCGAATATTGTAGGAAAGACTTTAATTGGTTAAAGCTGTTTTCTCCCTACAGGCCTTTCATAAAACTTTGCTGAACATTCATGAGAGTGGCACGGAGGCAGCAGCCGTCACCATTATAGAATTTATGCTACGTTCTGCTCCTGCTCACGTTTCACATTCTATCAGATTCAACAGATCCTTCTTGATGATATGTATTGATAAGCAAACGGAGATCATCACTTTCCTAGGGAGAATTATGAATCCTACTGAAGAATGAAGAATAAATATTAGAATATGTCAGCCTGTTTAGGTAATTATAAAAATACCTCCCTAAAGCAAATGGCTAGGTCCCTACTAACAGGACAGAGTCTGCAACTGCATTATAATTGATTGAAACCAACAGTTTGTGAGAAAAGTAAAAGAATGTTGTGCTTTTATAATAAAATTGATTTTAAGCTCTGCCATCTTGTAGGTTCACCTTTTGTACTACCATCTGAAAATCTGATGCTCATTTTTATTGTTGGGAAAGAGCAATTCTAACTGCCATATCTCAATACAATATTCCTGAGTTAGGAAAAGTTTAGAGGAAAAGGCAAACATTGGGCAATTTTTCAATGGGCTTTTAAGCATATACAGGTATGAGTAATGTGGAATATGACAGGAGTGTATAAAATTGTACATAATATGGAAATAATGACAATAAATACATTTTTGGTGTGGCCTAATCATGATGACTCTTATATTCAGAAATAAAAGGAGACAGAAAGGGCAGCTATAAACATCTCTGTGTTGCAACTGATCCTTGACTGTACAGATTCCTGCTCTAAATATGATGTTGTAAGGCCATTAACATAAGTGCATAAAACAGATATGTTTTCTTTTCAATTCAGAACAAAATAATCTCACATGAAATGTTCCACAGAAATGTTTTGAGGTAATTATTCCCTTGGAACAAACTTGAAACAATCTGAATGGTCTTTGTGTTCCTGCCCCATCGTTGTTCACCACAGGATTGCAAGAGTGGATGGGTTAATAGTCCCTTCTAAATGCTGTCGACTATCCAATATACAGTTAATTTGGCCGTATGATTTTAAAAACATTCTTTTAAAAAAAAATTAAAATAAATCCCATGTAAAACAATGAGAACACAATTCCACTCTCAGTAACTGAAAGGTTTGTTTAAATTTACACATACATACACACACACATACAGAATGAATAGATAAGAGTTCTTTTCAATTTTCTTAAATAAATGTTATGGGTTGCTGAACCAACTGATTACAGGACAAAGACAGCAACGAAACTTTAAAACATTCCTTTCAAATACTTCGTCTTCTCTATGAGGTTTTATTAATGATATTGAAATGATATTAAACATCATTTCCTTCCCTCTCTTTCTTTCTTTCTATACTCTGGTTGCAAATCTAACAAAAGCAACTATATTGAACATTCTGGAAGTTTTTGTTTTCATGCATGGATGTCTCTGGAGGAAAATGCTACTTATAACTTGGTCTTGTCGGACCACTAACTAAAGACTTCTCTTGTACCTATTTCCCTCAACATCTGTGACTAGACCGCCCATTGGCAGCACTTCCCTGCCCTTTATGATGGCTAAACATAACATGGAGGTTGATACAGTTCCGTCTCTGTGTGAAAGAGAAAGAGAACATTCCTGAGACTGGGAATCTGATATGAGCAATGATTAGGGAAGCCGGTTTTATAATTATTAGAGAAAGGAGGTTTGTTTACAGGAAATACATTATAGGAATAGGCAAAACCTAGCACCTAGTATCCTACTAGGAAAAGAATCCAAGAGCATATACTCTCTGCATGTATGCCTGGAAGGAAAGTAGAAGGAAGTAACCTCTGATTAGTAATCCAACAGACAAAAAGCAGGTGTGGTGATAGACAAAGACAGAGGACATCCTTAACTCTCTATCCTAACTGCTCTGCCACCTTGTGGTCAGTAGATCATGAGGTGCTCAAGAGTCTGTGTCATTGGATTCATACCCAGTGACACATATTTGGAAATTGGGAACTAGCCCAATAAGTTGACAGATGGCGTTGCTGTTCCTGTAAATTGTTTTCTGTCTGAAAAAGGTGTTCAGGGCAGATAATCACAAAATAAAATCCAGAAAACATTAATAAAATGTAATAAAATGCACAACAATAAAAAATGATTAACATTGTACATTAAAACAATAAGGAAAGAATCTGAAAGAATACTATTTCCCTACATACTAAGGCGTAGGAAAGTAGAAAAGATTAAGGGATATAAAGAGAGGTGGAGCAACAGAAAAAAATATATTCAGACCAACATAAGCTGAGTCCTTGCAAATGATGTCTTACAGTAGATCAGTTACACGGGAACGAGATAAATTTGTGGAGTATAATACTGTCAGGGGTTACTAGTCATAACAACTATGTACTACTTCCAGATCAGTAGCCTAATACCTATGAGTATGATTTGCAGAGGAACATCAACAGGAAAAATGTTGCTCTGATTATTTGGGAGTTTGGGGGGGGGGGCAGTTCTTATGGGCAACTGCTTGATCATTATGGGAAACTGAACTAGCTATGTATTTGGTCTGATTCAATAGGATAATGCTGGTTAAAAATCATCCTGTATCACCAAAGTTAATTCTTAGGGCTGCCCTACATCTACATGTACTTCAAAGATATATAGTAAAATCATCTTGTTTTCTTACAGGCGGTTCATAAGGCTGTCATGGATATTCATTAGGGTGGCACCAAGATAGCTGCAGTTACTGTTATTCCAATTACATAGAATAAAACTGCTCATCCTAGAATTCCATCATCAGACTTAATAGACCAGGTCTGATGTTACCAACTCACACCATACATTTTAAAGGGAAAAAAATATATAAACCCAACTGTAACAAGAATCTTTCATGATCAGAAGACTTAAGGCAGCTTTCAACATAGTTAAAACTGGATTTTCCAAGTTGCAATAAAATCAGTGGCACTATACCCAGTTATTTGGAAATTTAATATAACAATGACACATTGCTCTAGCATATGTTCTTAAAGGTTTATGAAATTGTTTCTTAATTGTATGTACCAAACTTTCATCTTGGCAGTACAATTTGACCCATTCCAGGAGCTAAATCCAGTGTGCAGAGATCACCCAATCTGTTTCAATTGCCAAAACAGGAGCACTAGAAACAGCTTGATCTGCTCTGGGCTGCTCCTGGGGGAATTTAGGCTGACTCATTCCCCAATCCAGAAGAGATGTATTGAACTAGAGATTGTTGTTCTCTTGATTCATGTGGGGAAAACACAGATGGCTGAATGTTTTGTTCCTTTTTTCAACAGGTTTGTTTAATATGACTGAAGGCAAGTTAGAGCATTATGAGGTGACAAAGCATGCCAAATTTCATTTACAATGATACAAATGGCTATATTAAAAAAAAAAAAACCGGAATGAGATGAAATCTGTATTATTAAGAGCGAATTTGCAATCTGTAGATGAGATTCCATCACCTGCTTCAATCATGGGGTTGCAAGTTTCATTCGCAAACTTACCACCAATTCTGCTTACTTTATATTTAGGGTCAAATGGACCTGTCTTGTAAAAGGCTTATTCACCTTTCTACTCTGGCAAATTGAATCTAAAAGGGCAATTAGAAATTGCAAGTATTGAAACTCATGTGCCACACACACCAATCTGTTCCATGTGCTAGTTCTGACTGTATTGACACAAGGAAATGCAGGCACCAAGTATATGAAATTCACAAAGGCTTTTACTTAAAATACATGGCAAAAACTATTGCAACACATTACAACAGTGAGAAACATAACAGATCCCAACACTTATTTAATATACATTTGAAGCTGCTGGGAGAACTCATCCACCAGTATGGGGTGAAGTGTCATCAATATGCTGATGACACTTATCTATACATCACCACCCCAGGCTGATCCAGGGATGCTGTCAAAAGCTTGGACCAGTGTCTGATTGCTATCGAGGTCTGGATGGGGCAAGACAACCTCAGATTAAATCCCTCCAAGACTGTTGCTATACGTCACTAAACACTGAGGAATATCACCTGCAGTAATTATTCTCTTTGGAGTCACACTACTCCAAAAAGACTTTCCAGTTACAAGCTGAGGTACATGAGATTCTCCTCCCCAGCCACAAAAATCTGAGGAGTCCATAATACTCTCCTACTTCCCAGGACTTCTATCCTCCCTAGACAACCTATTGGCTTCTGGGAATATTGTAGATGGAAACATTGCACCAGTCTTGGAGCATGATCATGGTCCATGTCTTCCCTTGAATGTTCCTTTGGTTTCTATTCATTGCAGTCTAAAAGGTACTGGAGTCTTCCTCCAATTTCCAAGAGCTCCTTCATACTCTGCTTCAAACTGTTCAATAACTGGAGATGGAGGAGATATGGATTTGCTGTAAGAGCTTGAGGTTAATACAAGAATTAACAGCTTGGGGTTTCAGCGATAGAGGTGGTATATTATTCATGTGGAACATTACTGAGTTGATGATGGTCACAACTGGAAATGTACCTATGAACTGGTTACCCAGCTTTTTAAATAGTCAAGAAGCCAAGCAATACGATGAGACTTACTCCAAATCACTGACTGACATTGTGAGATCAGGTTTGTCAATATTTGTATACCTTTTGCTTTTCCTGTAGGACCTAGTGCAGGTCCTGCAATTACAATAGTTGGTCAAATTCTGAACCAAAGATTTGGGTGCGTAAGTGCATTGGAAGGGGAATAAGATGATACCCAAAGTTTGTGAACAAGGGTAAGTGTGTGCACAGAATTATTATATGCAAAGTTCATCAAATGCAAGAACCTTATCCACTGTTGTGCTGGAAATCAATGCTATTTGTTCATTCTATTTGCCACTCTATTTGCCTGAGGATGACAAGCAGAAGATAGGTATACCTTGACACCTAGGCTTTTGAATAACATTTGTCAGAAACATGAGTAACTTGGATCCTTGATCTCAAATCAGGTAGTCCATGATTTCATGTGGCAGTTCATGAAGCCACAATATATTGTCAGGAGCAAGTGGGTGTGTCTTTGGCTACTGGTAATCCTGAACATGGAATAAAGGGTGCCATCTTAGAGAAAGTCTCTCTGACGGGGATTGTGTCCCACCCACCTGACCTCTGCAAGTGGTGATATCTAGGGTTATTGCCTTCTATAGTCTGGAGGCTGTGGGCAGAGGAACCAGGAGCTTCCCTGGTTAATACCTGACTCACTGACAGATAAAGCAGGAGCTCACAGACTTTCTAATTTTAATTATTAAATTATTTTCACCAAAAATAATTTAAGACCAAACGGAGGGTCTTGAAGAACCTAAAATATCCTGTTGTTGGGGGGAGGGGCTGTCATGACATAGGAACGAAATTTCCCCATAGCAGCCTGAGTGGAACATAATAACAGCCTGATAATATAGGGTCCCATGGTCCTAGGGCTACAGGATGGCATAAGAATTAGTTGCTTTCTCAATCTCTTGGTGCCAAGCCTGAGTGTGGGGGTGGGGGGTAAATCCCCATCAATACTGTATATTTATGAAACAGGGCATCAGTTTGTTTGTTGGCGTAGGTACTAAGGCTGTAGGTTACCTTGAAATTAAGCCAGGAAAAAGCTGTGTTCACTGGATGGGCCTTTGGTTTACTATCTAAAGATAATCTAAATTGCAGCCATCTAGGCATCTGTGGGACACTGGGCCCCT